CCTTTTTTTCTGAACCAGATAATCAAGCAAGACCATCCATTTCATTGGTCTTTGTATAACAAAACTATACCTTTTGTCTTTTTTCAGTTTTCCATCTAGATTTCCCATCTTATGAAGCTTCTTCAATGGCATCAATTCAATCATGGCCTAACGGACCCAACCGCCATTGCCCAGCGTCTCCAATCCTATGCAAAAGAAAAACAACCCATAAGAGGAAAAGCCATGCATGCCCATATCATTCGCACCATACCACATATCAACATTTTTATCCAAAACCACCTCCTCAATATGTATGCGAAATGTGCCCATTTCATACTAGCCTTCAAGTTATTCGGTAAAATGCCTCAGAAAAATCTCATCTCATGGACCACTCTCATATCGGCTCTCAGTCAACATGCTCAATTTCAGGAATCACTAAATTTCTTCACTCAAATGAGAATTTATGGCGAAAATCCAAACGAATTCGCTTTATCGAATGTAATTCAAGTGTGTGCCACAACTGGGTCACTAAAACAAGGTAAAGGGCTCCACTCTCTCACTATTAAATTGGGATTTGGTTCTGAGCTCTTTGTTGGGAGCAATTTAGCTGATATGTATGGGAAATGTGGGGAATTGGATGATGGGTGTCGGGTTTTTGAGGAAATGGAGGTTAGAGACCAGGTTTCTTGGACTGCCATGATTGTGGGGTATACAAAAAATGGAAGCTTTTTACAAGCGATAGATGCCTTTTTGAGGATGAGTTTGGAAGGTGTGAGTGCTGACCAGCATGTGTATTCAAGTGTATTGGGAGCATGTGGAGGGCTAAAACTTTCCAAAGTTGGCAAGTGTTTTCATGGCTCAGTGTTCAAGGCTGGTTTTGAGCAAAACGTTGTAGTGGGGAATGCCCTTGTTGATATGTACTCCAAATGCAGCGATATGGGTAGTGCAGTTCTTTTGTTTCAACTGGATTCTAAGCGTTGGAATGTTGTTTCTTGCAGTTCTCTTATCGATGGTTTTGTAGAGAGAGAAGAAATTTGGGAAGCAGTTTCTACTTTTAATGAATCTCGACAATGGGGCATTGAGCCTAACGAGTTCACATTCTCTTGTCTGCTTAAAGCCTCTGCATCCCAAGCTTCCCTTGAGCTAGGGAGGCAGCTCCATGCCCAAGTGATCAAATCCAGCTTTGATGTGGACCCATTTGTTTGTACTGCCCTTATTGATATGTACGGAAAATGTGGCCTTCTCTCTTTCTCTCTCCAAATTTTCAACAGTTTCAACAACCCAACCGAATTTGTATTTAACACAATGGTGGGAGTCTTAGCTCAACATGGGTGCGGCAGAGAAGCCATAGATATCTTCGATAAAATGGTGTCTAATGGGATGAAACCAAACGAGGTCACATTCGTTAGTATATTCACTGCATGTAGTCATGCCGGTTTAGTGAGTGAGGGAATGTATTACTTTTTCTCCATAGAGGAGAAATACAATGTAATTCCAACCGAAGAGCATTATGCTTGCATTGTAAATATGCTTGGAAGGGCAGGAAGACTGAAAGAAGCCAAAGAGTTTATAAGGAAAATGCCTTTTGAGCCCAACGCATTCGCATGGTGCTCATTGCTTGGGGCATGTAGGATTCATGGAGATATAGAGGGAGGTAAGCTTGCAGCCGAGAAGCTCATGGAGCTCGAGCCTGAAAACTCAGGAACCCGTGTCTTGCTTTTGAATATTTATGCGAAAGCTGGCAGATGGGAGGATGTTAAGACGATGAGAAAGTCAATGAGAGAGGGTGGAGTGAAGAAGGTGCCTGGTTTTAGCTGGTTAGAAGTAAACAACATGACCCATGTCTTTGGGGCTGAGGATTTTTCTCACCCCATGAGGAGAAAGATATATGAGAAGCTTGAGAGCTTGTTGAATGAGATGAGAGAAGCTGGCTATGTTCCCAATACTGACTCTGTTTTGTGGAATGTGGAAGAGGGTTTGAAAGAGAGGCTTCTCAGTCATCATAGCGAGAGATTGGCTGTTGCATTTGCACTTACCATCTTGCCTGTTGGGAAACCAATAATTGTTATGAAGAATATCAGAATTTGCACTGACTGCCATGTTGCCATTAAGTTCATCTCCAAGATTGTAGAGAGAGACATCACTGTTAGGGATAACAGTAGGTTCCACCATTTCAGAGATGGGTCCTGTTCTTGTGGGGATTATTGGTGATTCTTTTTGCCAATATAGATGAATTTGATTTGTCTCGACAAGACACGGTCTTTTTCCCCTTCTTCAAAACCAGTTTCCTGCTTAATCTCTATAGCTGTCTTAAATTATCTCGATCACCTTATAGGCCTTAATTTCTACACCATGTTTTAGATTTTGGATTGACCATATTAAAAGCCATTGATGGTGGAAACTTATTCAGCCAAGTACTCTATTGAATATAGACTGCTTTCTGGGGATAGAAAAATAAAAAGTGCATCAAACCATCTTCCATGTGATTCAAATGGATAGATCAAATATTTGAAATAACCATAACCTTCAAACTGCTAATAGCACACATCCAGAATTTATTAAGCGCATTTTGGTGAAATGTTAGATCATTTTGGGTAGTTCAGCAGTTGGATTTGAACCCTGAAAATGGTATTGCAAATTGTCGTCACCTTAATCACTCAGGCCCGAGTCCAAATCCTAGATGCAATGTTCAATCAATCTGACAAGAATTAATCAAACCTTTTATACTTTGGGTTGGGACCTGATATTATACTTCGTTAGAGTCCAACATCCAGTGTCCATGCTTCTATAGGCATTGGATCTTAGCAAATTTTTCCGGTAAAAAACATTTGTGGCTAAAAGTGGACAACGGTTCATCAATGTCCCTAGAGAAACATGGTTGGTGAATGTTGTCTATATACTCTGTTCCATAGTCATACAAGTTTATGGAAATTTTTCCCTTCTATGGGGGTATCCAATGGGTGGATATTGTGAGAAGATCTCTTTAATTTATCCACCCAGCTTCCATGACCCTAAGGTCTTCTGCTCTCATACTTGCTGCCAGAACCCGAGAAGCCTCACTGTGTGCGTCCGTGAATGCACACGTTTGTGCAAATGCGCAGCAATAATATAGAAAACCATTAATCCTGGATGCCTCTGGTCCTAAAAGGAATTCAGCAAGGCTTTCGAGCCAGCAAAGAAAACGGCGGCTTTCGAGCTGTAGTTTGCTGGGCACACTAGCTGCCAGAAAACTACAGTGCGCTAGTGCTGCGAAGAAAGAGTAGTGCGTGCTAGCTGCGAAGAAAACGTGGTGTGCTAGTGTGCACGTAGGTTTTCGAGCTAGCGAAGACAAGCAAGAAAATGTTAGTGCAACGGCTTTCATGCTAACAACTAGAGAGTTTCAGTAGTGGTCTGGGCTTGGGCCATCCAAATCCAAGGCCAATCTCAACTGATACCTACCTCTTTTTAGTTTTGGCCTAACCAAGATTGATCTACCCTCAACGGAGGACCATAACAGTGGTAATTGGGCAAACAATATCAATCACTGGGATTTGGAGTAGATATGCAATGTTAATCACATATTTAGCAAATCATATAAGAATAAAATGACTACCTTCTATATGGATATAGGCAACCAGATCATATAATAAATTTAAAATTTGGAAAACTTTTGAGTGTCTCCAGGAATAATAGACTATAACTATCCCCGCCTAAAATTCTACTTTTGAGGTAGGTGAGGGACCTAAGAAACCTCCAAATCACTACCATATAAATAAAATTTGATATAGAGCTCCAAGCAATCTCTTCCCTTGATCCATTTTGTTCAAAATGGACGGCCCATATCTGATTTTAAGGTGGAAGTAAATTTGCAGTACTCGTAAAGCTCTAAGTCCTTTTCTTTTTTGGGGAGGAGACGGTTTCACCAGTAGTTTCTCCAAATAATATTTGATTTGGGGACCCTCATAGATCCACTACTCATTCAAATGGACGGTCTAGGTCTAGAGTTCAGTTTGGTCATGGTAATAGATATGAAGCTTTTTCTAAGCCCCAAATCATTTTTCCCATACAAAATGGGGTGTCTACAATAGAGTTTGGTTATAGCAATAGATGTGGAGCCTTTTTTGACCTCCAAATCGGTGTTGTTTTTAAAAGAGATAGTAAGAGATTCTCTTTGCATAGGTGACTTATATGGAACTAGTTTAGTTCTCTCACCCACCTGAAATTAATTTTTGTAGGTGGGGAATAACATAATCT